ACACGACGGAAGCCACGCCGAGTGTAGCCTCCCGGCTGGTGAAAGGACTCGTGGGGCCGCCTCGGTGCTGGCTCCTCTGTCGAGGCTGTTGGCACGTTTCTGGTTTTCACAGTGTGATGCTGCGATGAGGAGTTGTGCCCCCGAAGTCTTCTGAGTGCCTCTGAGGCTTCAGTCTGAGGAGCAGGGTCACCACGTCTGAAGGCAGAACATTGTGAAGGCTCTCTTGCATAAGAAAAGACTGGCTTTAAGTGTTTCTGCTCATTAGTTACTGTCAGATAAGCTCGTACTCACTGGTTATAATAAAAGAGGGCTACAGATAACTTACTGACATATATTTTTAAAGCGGCTCTTTTAGTCCTGTCCTAGAAGTATTTATGAATAGTTCATCACAGATGTTACGTCTGAACATAAAAACCCTGCTTTCCCCAAAAAACTTTTCAAAATAATTTTAAAGGGATCTAATCATGTTAAAGGAAAATTTAAAAACAAAGAAAAGAGTTTGACCAAATCTCACTTCTTCCCTTTCTATGTATCTCACGTAGTTGGAATGAAAGTATATGTAGTTTTTGTGTCCTGCTTTTGTAATTTAGCATGCTATTACATACGTCTGTTGTTGTCACAGCCTCATCATGATGATTTTTAATAACTACAAATTATTCCACTGACTTCATATACGACAGTAACATAACCATTCCCTGCTGGATACTGAGGCTTTTACTAATTTTTACTTGTAGCTCTGTGGTGAGTGTGGACTATTTCCTTGGTTCGAATCCCCACAGTGGATTGACTGGGTCTGAATTTAAATTTTTATTCCTTCAGAATTTTCACTGATTCCTCCTGGCATGTCTTCTAGGCTAGACTTAGTTATTGATGTTTTATTCCAACGACCTCATGGCATTCATACGCTCCCCGGGCAGAGCACCCAGAGGTGCTGTGCTGTGCTCAGGAGCCTGCGTAGCCAGGACGCTGCCCTGTGTGCAGGGCCTTTACGGGCCGGATGTTTCAGGCTCGGAACACTTTCCTTCCTGCCTGGCTGGCTCTCCAGTGCGTGCACTCGGCCGCCATTCACAGAGCTGTTCCTCGTAGCCTTTGCCAACGGGAAGAAAATGGGCAGAGGCAAGGCGGTAATCATTGCGGCCCCTCCTCTTTTCCTCCTCCTGCTTCCTTTTGTGAGCACATCGGTCAGGATGGAAATGCTCTGGTGCTCCTGGCTGCTGGAGCGGACACAGCGGCTTCACTGGGGGAGAGAGATGCACGAGCTGCCGGCGCATAAAGCTCCTTTGTTGCCCATGGCCGTGCGGTCTGGCCCGGCGCTATCTCAGAGGCACGAATAAATCTGGCGGCCTTCAGTGTCTCCGGTTCGGGGCTGCCCTTCCCCGCTCGTCTCCCTCTGCGCAGTTTCCTCTCGGCCTTCAGCGCACAGCCCCGTCTTCTCATCAATATGCCCTGCTAACTGCTGCCAAGCCTCCAGCAGCCCAGTGCACATGTTCCCTTCATCATTCCTCTTTGTTCTGGAAGTCTGCGTTTGGTTTCCGAATACCCGCCTGCCCCTGCTCCACCATCGCCGTCATTGGCTATGGCGCATGGCTGTCTGAGGTCTGTGAAGAGCATCCTAGAGTGCCCGGCCTGGAGGGTGCCCGCAGTCTGCGCACAGGGTGCTAAATCACCCTCCCTCCCCTCCCTTCCCCGAGCGCCTGCGCCCGCCTGGCCCAGGTGAGGGACTATCTCCCGCCCCCAGGGACAAAGCTCCCTTCTCGGGCCTCCGCTGGCCCAACACAAGAACAGGACGCTTTCTTGTCTAGGCCCCGTGGTCTCAATGGGCTATTCATGGCGTCCAAGAGCAATACCTCAGGAGCTGTATTTCATGGAGAAGGAAGGGCCTGGGCTGTGGGCGCGGTGGCCTGCTCGCTGGGAATGCCCGGGGCCTGGGGCCCGGCCCACCCCCTGCCTGCCGCCCCTACCCCACTGGCCAGGCCCTTTCAGTAAGGAAGGGGTCTCAGGCTGCTCCTCCCTGGGCCTGTGCACCGGGCACCGCTCTGCTCTGCATGCTCTCCTCTTTTCATCTGTGCCGGTGCCCTCGCCCTGAGCCCCAGGAGAGGAGGAAGAGCTGCCCAAAGCGTGGCCTCTCTACAGCCTTCTCCTCCCCCAGGGGCGGGGCACCCCGGAAACTGCGATGAGAAACTGTTTACACAGAAGACCACCCCTGCCTCCTCTGTGCCTGGCCCCTTCCCTCCAGAAAGCAATTCAGAGGCCCGGCTGTGGCCCTGCCCCTCGAGGACCTGATCTCTGTGCCCGCGGCCTGGCCGGCCGCTCCCGGGTGCGAGAACCCGATCTCTGTGCCCGCGGCCTGGCCGGCCGCTCCCGGGTGCGAGAACCCGATCTCTGTGCCCGCGGCCTGGCCGGCCTCTCCCGGGTGCGAGAACCCGATCTCTGTGCCCGGGAGCGAGGACCTGATCTCTGTGCCCGTGGCCTGGCCGGCCTCTCCCGGGTGCGAGAACCTGATCTCTGTGCCCGCGGCCTGGCCGGCCTCTCCCGGGTGCGAGGACCCGATCTCTGTGCCCGCGGCCTGGCCGGCCGCTCCCGGGTGCGAGGACCCGATCTCTGTGCCCGCGGCCTGGCCGGCCTCTCCCGGGTGCGAGGACCCGATCTCTGTGCCCGCGGCCTGGCCAGCCGCTCCCGGGTGCGAGAACCCGATCTCTGTGCCTGTGGCCTGGCCGGCCGCTCCTGGGTGCGAGAACCCGATCTCTGTGCCCGGGAGCGAGAACCTGATCTCTGTGCCCGCGGCCTGGCCGGCCGCTCCCGGGTGCGAGAACCCGATCTCTGTGCCCGCGGCCTGGCCGGCCGCTCCCGGGTGCGAGAACCCGATCTCTGTGCCCGCGGCCTGGCCGGCCGCTCCCGGGTGCGAGGACCCGATCTCTGTGCCCGCGGCCTGGCCGGCCGCTCCTGGGTGCGAGGACCCGATCTCTGTGCCCGGGAGCGAGAACCCGATCTCTGTGCCCGCGGCCTGGCCGGCCGCTCCCGGGTGCGAGGACCCGATCTCTGTGCCCGGGAGCGAGAACCCGATCTCTGTGCCCGCGGCCTGGCCGGCCGCTCCCGGGCGCGAGGACCCGATCTCTGTGCCCGCGGCCTGGCCGGCCGCTCCCAGGCGCGAGGACCCGATCTCTGTGCCCGCGGCCTGGCCGGCCGCTCCCGGGTGCGAGCACCCGATCTCTGTGCCCGCGGCCTGGCCGGCCGCTCCCGGGTGCGAGGACCCGATCACTGTGCCCGGGAGCGAGAACCCGATCTCTGTGCCCGCGGCCTGGCCGGCCGCTCCCGGGCGGGTGAACCCGATCTCTGTGCCCGCGGCCTGGCCGGCCGCTCCCGGGTGCGAGCACCCGATCTCTGTGCCCGGGAGCGAGAACCCGATCTCTGTGCCCGCGGCCTGGCCGGCCGCTCCCGGGCGCGAGGACCCGATCTCTGTGCCCGCGGCCTGGCCGGCTGCTCCCGGGTGCGAGGACCCGATCTCTGTGCCCGGGAGCGAGAACCCGATCTCTGTGCCCGCGGCCTGGCCGGCCGCTCCCGGGTGCGAGAACCCGATCTCTGTGCCCGGGTGCGAGGACCCGATCACTGTGCCCGGGAGCGAGAACCCGATCTCTGTGCCCGCGGCCTGGCCAGCCGCTCCCGGGCGGGTGAACCCGATCTCTGTGCCCGCGGCCTGGCCGGCCGCTCCCGGGTGCGAGCACCCGATCTCTGTGCCCGCGGCCTGGCCGGCCGCTCCCGGGCGGGTGAACCCGATCTCTGTGCCCGCGGCCTGGCCGGCCGCTCCCGGGCGGGTGAACCCGATCTCTGTGCCCGCGGCCTGGCCGGCCGCTCCCGGGCGGGTGAACCCGATCTCTGTGCCCGCGGCCTGGCCGGCCGCTCCCGGGCGGGTGAACCCGATCTCTGTGCCCGCGGCCTGGCCGGCCGCTCCCGGGCGCGAGAACCCGATCTCTGTTCTCGCGGCCTGGCCGGCCGCTCCCGGGCGCGAGGACCTGATCTCTGTGCCCGCGGCCTGGCCGGCCGCTCCAGGGCGCGAGGACCTGATCTCTGTGCCCGCGGCCTGGCCGGCCGCTCCCGGCCACGAGGATCCAATCTCTGTGCCCGCGGCCTGGCCGGCCGCTCCCGGGCGCGAGGACCTGATCTCTGTGCCCGCGGCCTGGCCGGCCGCTCCAGGGCGCGAGGACCTGATCTCTGTGCCCGCGGCCTGGCCGGCCGCTCCCGGCCACGAGGATCCAATCTCTGTGCCCGCGGCCTGGCCGGCCGCTCCAGGGCGCGAGGACCTGATCTCTGTGCCCGCGGCCTGGCCGGCCGCTCCGGGGCGCGAGGACACTCCTCACACGCTAGCACACGGAGGGCGGAGCGGGGAGCAACTTCGCAGAATGAGGGTCCCCTCGCCTTCTCAGGAAAGTGACTGCTGCCCCGTTGGCTGGAGATGCCGGGCGCTCTCCCACCTGCCCCGAAGGGAAGTGTGTGTTTTAAGTGAAACCAGTTTACAGCAGAACTCGGGCCGCAGTGACCAGCTTCTCCCCTGTTCTCAGAAGGTGTAGATTTATTTACTACAGTTAAAGCGTAATTAGTTCTCAGGGGAGAGTGTATCTTTTAAACGGCTTTATTGCCACCATATTGGTTTTCTGAATAATCAGAAACTTCTGTTATGATTATGTTCTTGGGCTCGAACAGAAACGCACTGTAAGTAGAAACAAATGTCAGGAATTGTTAGTTGTCACTCGGAGAGGGGACAGCAGTCAGAAAGAACCCGAGGGGATATTCCAAAGAAATGCAGTCCGCCAGCGCCTTAAGCTGGGTAGCAGCCCGGGCGGTGCAATGCCTGCCGCCTCTGGCTTCCCGGAGGCGGGGGACGGGTGCAGCCCAGGGAAGCCCGCGCTGTCACACCTGAGTGCACACAGGTCCCCATCTTGTCCGCGCCGGGGATCCCTGCCCGTGCTCGGTTCTGGCTGACCAGTCTTTCCCACCGTTCGCAGGTTGATGTTTGAGACGCCGCAGGAAATGGGCTTAATAGCCATCGCAGTCCGCCAAACACAGGGCAAAGGTCAGTCATCGTTCGTTATCGTTTCTGCTGTGTCTGTTTTCTGAAATCTCTGGCCAAGAGAGCCCGCTGATTGAGTGTGCTGATCCTCAAGGTGACTCCACTTAGAAGTCACTGGCTCTCACCCAGCTTGCCTCACCCCGCCCCCCTGCAGTTGAATGGAGGGGAGGGGGCTGACCAGAAGACTGAGCCTGAGCGGAGGGTAAAGCATCCTCTCAGATGGAGATGCATAGTAACCACCTGGCATCTGCTGTGACGGCTCTGGCACCTGGTGAATCCCCCTCTGCCACGTCCTGGACATGGCGGTTGTGACTTGGCAGGGTGCTGGAGAGACGGTCATGTTCCCGAGGGGCCGTCTGTGTCTGTCCTGAGAGTCACATGGAAGGCCTGGCATCTGCCGGCCCCTGCCCAGCTGGCACTGGAATTTGCCCATTCACCAAGTGCCCACAGAGAAGCAGAGGCTGCCCAGAGCTTCCCCACCTGTGACCCCCGCCCCAGCATAGACCCAGGCCTCCCCCACCCCCCGCCGCCCCAGCATAGATCCCCTTTCCCCAGCATAGACCCAGTGCCCCCCCCCCCCCAGCATAGATCCCCCTGCCCCAGCATAGACCCAGGGCCCCCAACCCCCGCCCCAGCATAGACACATACACACACACACACATACACACACACACACACACCAGCATAGACCCAGGGCCTCCCCGGGTGATATAGATGCCATTGCTGCTCTCTCTTGCCGGCATGGCCGTATGGTGAGAGTTAGACTGTGAGTGATGTTCTGACACGGGAAGACTTTGAATCATCAAAGCGCAGATGATGTGCGCACAGAGGCGGACCAGCCTGCTAATTGCTGGGACTTGCTCAGCAGCAGAGCCTCAGGTCTGGGAAGCTTCTGTGGCTGAGTTAACCCAGAGCACCCGGCGCCTGCCCAGCCCAGGGGTGTCAGTGGGCTGGCCTCCCTGGGAGGCTCTGAGTCTGTTCGTTGGCGAAGTGGCCATTTCCCGGGGCCTGTCTTCCAGGGCGCGGAGGGAACGTGTGGCTGAGCCCCCTGGGATGCGCTCTTTCCACGCTGCTGGTCTCCGTCCCGCTGAGGTCCCCGCTGGGACAGAGGATCCCGTTCGTCCAGCACCTGATGTCCCTGGCTGTGGTGGAGGCGGTGCGGTCCGCCCCCGGGTACCAGGTACGTGCGCCGCCTCACCGGGCGTCCCCACCTGTGGCCGGTGCCGCCGGCACGGTGTGTGCCCGTGTGTGTGCGTGGTGGTGCGTGTGAACCTTAGGCGCCAGGATGGGCTGCTCCCCGGGGTTCCCTCTGAGCTGCTGTCAAACAGCCCCGGCCCAGGAAGGACGAGACTTGTGTGTTATTGAAGCAGGTTGGACTGGGTGGGTGAAAGGCTTATTTTATAGGGCAGAAAAGCCCTCTCGTTTCCTGCCCTCGTTCCCAGGCGGCTAGGCTGCATCGGTGCAGGTTCGGCGAGCGGCTTGTCTGGGGACAGATGTGCCGCTCCATCCTTCCTGTGGTGCTTTGGTGTCTGTGACTGAGAAGACAAGGAAAAGGGGCGAGCACCACCGAGACTAAAGCCCCACTGTCGGACCCCTTGTCTGTTTTCCAGGCAGAACTCCATGTGGCCATAAAGAAGGGTGTCCCCTGCCTTCTCCCACCTGCAGCTTGCTTATGTCAGGCTAGCACATTGATGGGAGTCAGTCCTGAGGCGAGGTGCTGCACGCATGGCTCTCAGAGGAGGCTGGTGCCGCGTTTACACGGAGCGGCCCGCCCTCCCGACTGCAGGCACGCCCTCAGTCACCGCGCGCAGGACCTGGTACCCGTCAGGCCACCGGGGTTTGGGTAGGCCACGGCCATCTTCCTCACATAGGCTCCTTGACCCCTGAGAGCCTACATCCCCCATCCCCCTGGCATCTAGCACGTGGCAGCGGCTCCATGGTGGTTGATGCTGAGGTGAAGAGCTGCATTCACCAGACAGGCATCTTCAGAAAGGGTTGTTACGGAGACAAACAGCGGTGGGGTGGGAAGAATGACGTAGTTATTCTTAGTCTCTCCGGAGCCCCGAGAGGTGCTTTAACACTGCTGTCCCAGAGGAGCGGCTGTCGTTCCGAGAGAAGAGGGATGAGCCTGGCACCTGGTTCCCGGGGCGTCTGCTCCGCTCCCGTTAGCTGGAGGCTCAGCTGGCCCGTGTCTGCCGCCTCGCTAACTGCAGGCTTCCCTCTAGGACATCAACCTTCGGGTGAAGTGGCCCAACGACATTTACTACGGCGACCTCATGAAGCTCGGCGGCGTCCTGGTCAACTCGACGCTCGTGGGAGAAACATTTTACATTCTCATCGGTGAGTCCTACAGCCTTTCCCCGGCGCTTGGCTGTGTTGGGAGTGAATTATCATGCGAATTACTTTTCCTTGAGTCTTGTGTGATAGAATGTAACACATGTGCGCAACAGGCAGATTAGTTGGAAGTGCTTCGAGGGGTTTACTAGCCTTCCTGTCCGTGGCCATGGGATCCAAACTGGTATCGTGTCAAACACTTTTCCTTACACCTGCCCAACTCCTGCTGCTTGTCGAGTCAGAAATGGTGAAAGGAAGCCCCGGTGAGCTACACCGCACACCTGTTAGCACGGCTGGTATCACAAAGACAAGCAATGACAAGTGTTGGCGAGGATGCAGAGAAAGGAATGCTTGTGCCCTATTGGTGGGAATGCAAATATTTTTTTAAATCTTTTTAAAAATATATATATATTTTATTGATTTTTTACAGAGAGGAAGAGAGAGGGATAGAGAGTTAGAAACATCAATGGGAGAGAATCATCAATCAGCTGCCTCTTGCACACCCCCTATTGGAGATGCGCCCGCAACCAAGGCACATGCCCTTGACCGAAATCGAACCTGGGACCTTTCAGTCCGCAGGCCGACACTCTATCCACTGAGCCAAACCGGTTTCGGCGGGAATGCAAATCGATGAAGCCACTATGTAGCTGAGGTTCCTCAAAAAAGTAAAAAATGGATTTAGCATATGACCCAGCACTTTCGGCGGCATGTACACTGAATCCCATGCCCACACTCCGGGGGTGCGTGTGCAGAGCTCCATGCTGAGCCAGCGAACCCTGCAGAACCTGCTCTGCTGGAGCTACTTTTGTTTCCCAGATGTAAATGATACTGCTTGGTTTTTAATAGGCACATATTATAAAAAACACGCTGAGGACGGATCAGAACACTGGAGGACAGCGCTAGTGTAGCTTCATTGCTCTGCGTGAGGAGCGTGAGGGACGTGTGCTCAGAGGCCCTGGAACACGGTTGTCTTGCTGGAGTCTTGCCGTGTTCCGTTGCTGATTGAGGGCCCTGCTGGCAACGTGGTTCGGCTCCTCTGGAGCAGCGGCTCGGAGAGATGCGTGTGAAGCAGCAGCGGAGCTAAGCCTGTGGAGGCCCCGCTGCTGTAGCTCAGCTTCCTGAGGCCTGGGTAGGCGGCCAGCAAACAGCCGCTGGAAATGGTTGGCCCCTTGCCAACAGCTAAGCCGAGCACTAAAGACGCCCAGGATAAAGCATTAAAAGATGTGTTCTAGGGTTATTCCATCACCAGGCTTTGAAATCTCTGATCCACATTTACTCCCTAAGACCTGAATGAAATGCTTCCTTTCGAGCATGTGTTCTGCTACTCACTAGGAAGAGAAACAAGAGCTGGTGCTGAGCGCAGGTCTGGGCTGGACCACACGAAATTCCATTTCAGAAGCAGCTCTGAGCAGTTTTGTCCCCCGCTTGGCTTCTGTTTAACGCAATCAGAAGTGGCATGCTTCCTTACATCCTATTGCTGGGAAGGTGGGGAGGGCCCTGGCTTGATGAGGATGATGAAGGAAGGATGGAAAGAGAAATGGGCTCCAATAGATATGTTCCTCCGTGAGTGGGCAGCAAAGTGCACACGGCTGAGGACAGGGAGCAGGAAGCCGACAGGAAGCGCTGTGCCTCCTTCCAGGCGTTGGAAGGAACAGGTGACGCCATCAGCAGGCTGAGCTGTGCGTGTTTTCAGTCCTTTGTTTGTTTCTGACCAGGCTGTGGCTTCAACGTGACTAACAGTAACCCCACCATATGCATCAACGACCTCATCGCAGAACACAACAGGAAGCACGGGGCGGCCCTGGCGCCTTTAAGAGCTGACTATCTCATCGCCAGGACGGTGACGGTGCTGGAGAGCCTGATGGACACGTTCCAGGACGCGGGGCCCAGCGGGGTCCTCCCTCTTTATTACAAGTACTGGGTGCACAGGTCAGTGCTGGCGCCTCTCCTTTCCTTATAAGCCAGTGGTTTGGTCCCTTCGACCGAGAAACTAAGCGCCCGTCAGTCTAGCTTCTGGTGGACACTGCCTCGCCTGGACCGCGCCAGTCCCCGGCCGCTGGCCTCTGGGCCTCCTGCAGGGATGCGCTGGGAGGAACCATGTCACTGCCGGCATGTTCACGCAGAATCTCATTGTGAGGAAACAGACAGATGTAAATTGTGGAACATTCTAGCTAGCCGTGGTTTCCAAAGCGAGCTTCCCCAGGCTGTGGGACTTGGGAGAAATACCGATTCCTGAGTCTCCTTGACACCCTCCTGCATCAGAAACCCAAGGCTGAGCCCGGCTTTGTGCTCCCACCAAGGCTCCAGGGAGTCTCAGGCCCCTGGAGTTTGAGAAGCTGGTGGGCGTCCACGGGCCTCGGCCTTCCGAACGCCACTGCCTTAGGCCGGCAGGTGGGCGCTTCCTGAGAGGAAAGATAGGCACAGCCGTTAAGTGCAGCGCTTCCTAGTTAGACTCTGGCCGGAGGAGAGGCCGGAGGAGAGAGGCCGAGGGCGCTAGGAGGCAGAGGTGGAGCTTGCAGGGTGTGGGTCTAGGTAGTGCAGCGCGGGGAGTTTGGGTTTTGCAGGGACGCATGCTCATTTGTAGGAGACACATGATGAAGTATCTTAAGTGTCATGATATTGAAACTTATTTTAACTGTCAGCCCCCAAAAAGTGTGTGTGTGTGTATGTATGATCAGTTGATGTGAATTTAAGTAAAGGAGAGTATGAGATTCATTGTATTATTTTTCCAACTTTTCTATTAGTTTTGACATTCTTCAAAAGAAAAATGTTGGGGGAGGGGAATAGTGTACTTTTAAAACTTAAAATTCTATACATTTGGAAAATACTTAAAAGGTGGAGAACTTTTCAGCTCCTCCTCTTTTCCCATAACCTCAGCCAGAACCCTGCGAGCTTGCCCAGTGTTCCTCAGAGTGCTCGAGGGGGAGGAAGGGGAAGCTCAGCAGCTACCGGAGAGCAGCCGCTCCTGCCCTGCTGCTCGGCGGTTAGGGCGCCATCCCCATACGGCAAGGTTGTGGTTCAGTCGCGGATCAGGGCCTTACAAGAATCCACCAGGTTTGTTCCACCAACAAACCTCTCTCTCTAAATTTAATAAATGAAATTTAAAAAATAAAGAGGGAAGCAGTTCTCACTCCCTGTTGGACTTGCACACACCCTGGCCATCGAAACATCTCACGCCGAAGAGGGGGAGCACAGACAGTGCACCTAACCTCGCCCGGCCAGCCCCACGCCGCCCCCCCTTCCTGTCAGCCGCATCCCACTCCAGTGACTCGCCCTGTGCTTTGTTCCCAGTGGCCAGCGGGTCCGCCTGGGGAGCGCCGAGGGGCCAGAGGTGTGGATCGTCGGCCTGGATGACTCCGGCTTCCTCCAGGTTTACCAGGAGGGCGGCCAGGTGGTGACTGTGCACCCGGATGGCAACTCCTTCGACATGCTCAGGAACCTCATCGTGCCCAAGCAGCCGTAGTGCGTGGGGAGGGCCTGGCGCTGGGACCACTCAGGACTGGCCGGGCGTGGCCACCGCAGCAAGCATTCCAGTTGGGGCCTGCTCTCTCCTTGCCCCCAGATGGAGAAAGCCAGCTTAGAGGGGTGGGCGAACGTCGTCTCCCTCGTTAACCTGTTAGTCCTTGAGGTTTGTTCTCAGTTATGTCCTCAGTGACGGAGGAAGATCTGGGGGAGGGGTCCTGGAGGAAGAGGTTCCGTTCAGGTGAAGCCCCCAAAGGTGTGACACTGTTTCCCCGATTGGGCCTGGATGTGTGTTTATTGCAACCCCCAATATTTTCACGTGGAAGCCACAGTGGAATAATTCAGACATTTCCCCACAGCGGAGACCTTTACCCTCCTAGACCATTAAAAAGCAAATCAGAGACAGCTCCGGGCTGTGCGGTGGAGGCGGAGGCCCGGCAGCTTTCACAGCGGCTTCAGGGCGGACTGGCACTGCGCGGCGGTGTTGGTTCGGTTAATGAAGAGCCGGGAAGCCAGCCTCTGAGAGTTCCTCTGCCTGGCGGTTCAGGCCCAATGGCACTGGCCGCAGAGGGGTGAGCAGGGCGGCTGGATGGCCGCGCGGAGGAAACTGGCTGGTTACTCCGACTGGTTTCTAAGCTCCCCTTTCATAGCCTTAATTTTACTCCGAATCCTGAAGCGATGGATCAGGTTCAGGGCCTTCAGGGCTGATTAGGATCGCCCAGGCGTGGGTGCGCCCTGGCTCCTGACAGCTGGAGGCGGAGGCTCATGCTGCTGCACGCAGGGGGACGGGGAGCTTTGAAATGTCCCTGTGAGGCTGCTCACAGAACAAGAAGTACGTGATCGGGTGTTTGTAAGTCAGTATTTTTTTATCCCCTTGTGATATCGACAAGAAAGAAAATGTTATTGATATGGAATGCCATCATTTAGGAAGTGTGTGTGGGGGGGAGGGGGGTGGGGCGGGGAGCGATCTTTAAATTATCTTGAAAACCTGGTATACTAAGCCTCCACCGAAGAACAAAAGAGGGGAAGCCTTTTGATATGCATTTGCCGTTTCCAGATGCACTCCATGCTCCTTCCATGCACCTCCTCTCTGTTGATGTGAATCATGCACATCACTTTGCGGCCTGAAAGGCCGGTTTTGCCCACTTTCCCCTCTCCCTGCCAGTCCCCAGTGAAGTTAGCGGAAAGCACGCGGATGGCGTTCTCCGCTGTGAACGAACCCGCCTGACTGCAGCAGCACCTTCTCCCCCCGCCCCCCGCCGGCAGCTGATCCCGGACCTGCAGACGTGCGGCTGGAGGGGAGGGTGCGGTGGGAGCCAGGCATGGCAGCCCCACAGGAAGGGAGCAAAGGAATGTGAAGTGCACCAGCCCGATATGCTTTTTGGAAATGTAACTTTTAAAATGAACTTCAAAAGTAATTTTTGCAACTAAGACTTCAATTAGAATTATGCCCCCTCCCCCCTTGCCCCCAAAGGTCCTCTCTTCTAAATGGAGTCAGTCCCAGGTTTAAATAGTTCACCCCAACACTGCCGACAGACGCACCCCGGAGCGGGCTCTGCACAGCATCATCCAGAGGAGCGATCCCGGAGATTCTCGCTGACTCGGCAACAGGCGGCCAATCATCTCGGGGCCACCGTCATTCCTTTCCCCTTTCTTTGGGGGTTATTTAATGAAAAACATGCTGTGTTTTGCTTTAAGCCGAACTCCTATTCTGGACAGTTCTGCTTTGGGGAGAAATGTTATCACTTAATTTCCTTTCTGTAAATTAAAACTAATGAAGTGTGGCCAAGTCAGAGCAGAGCGAGCTGCGGGCGGCGCGAGACCGCTTGTGCCGCGTCCGCGTCTTCAGGGAGACAAACGGACTGGAAGCAGATGCTGAGCTTTTCCTGAAGCCCATTCTGCCTCCGATGAACCAAAGACTTTGGAAATTGTGCTTCGTATAGAGCAGCTGCATACAGGCATTTTCCGTGGCGCTGTCAGCGCCATAGAAACCCGTCCGCTCACCCATGTGGCATAACCGTGCACCCGGCAGTCCCATCCCCAGGAGCTTTTAACGTCTTAACACAAGCCCAGTGGTCCTCGCAGTCCTGACCCGGGACACAGCTCAGGATTGGTGTGCGTTTGGGACACGGGGTGGTCCCCCAGGTTGGAGGCTGCACTTGAGCCTCTGACAGGTTACGGGCAGGGCGGGACTTCTCTCTGAGCCTAAAGCCGATTTGGGGACACTTTCCCAAGTGCCGGCCAACACAGGGCATGCCAGAGCGGGGCTCCCTCTGGCCCACGGAGAGGGCCAGGAAAACCCCACTCCCCGAGGAGTTCAGGAGCCGGCTGGGCAGAGCGTGGGCGTTCACGGGGCGTGGGCTAGGTGGGAAGGGTTTGTGGCTGGCATCAGACAGCCCGTGGGGTTCATGGCTGCGGTACCCTCACTTGCGACCAGAGAGTAGATGCACAAGCCCAGGTTAGTAGCACACCCTGAACCCGGAGAGCAGCCAGCCTCGCCCAGCAGATGGAGAAGGCCATGAGTGACCTTTCAGGCTGGCATTCTGTAGGTCTGTTTGCTGCTAACAGGCAGAAAACGGAGAATCTTTATTCCTGGGTAATTGCTATGCATATTTGAAATAAAAGGAAGTGGTAACCTTTGCATTTTCAGCTTTTCAAAGAATCGTGTCTGAAAAGTAATTAAGCAGATACCTATAAAACACAAGTCTACCAAAATAAACTTTAAGACTTTCTATACAGTTTGAGCTCCTTGTTATTTTTACCACAAGTTTCATTTTTAAAAATAGACAACTATTTTTGGTTCCAGTATTTTTATTCATATTTAAACATTTTCACAAAATAAATAGTTTTACAAGGTAAGGAATATGTATTTCTAAGTATTAAGAAGCTGGTGTTTTTCTAAAATGTATTTTTGACAAATGTATTGTGTCATATAAAAGAGAATTCATATTCCAAAGAAAGTAAGTTAGCAAAACCCAAAAGTAAAACAAAACAAAAAATGTTTGAGATGAAAAATTTAATAAAACAACTTAATGTAAGTTTTTAAGTTAAAATAAATTGAATGTAACAAATTAAAGAACATATTTTGTTCTTGTAGAATTTTCTCTTACTCTTGTATTTTTCTTACTGCTTGATTTCTGTCTTGCCTGTTTTAAGATTTAACCTTATAGATTATACTTAAGTTTAGGATCAGCTTGAATAATGCATTTTAGATCAGGGCTACGATTCACTAACCATTTTAAGCTACTGCAATTTTCCAGCATTTATTTGAAAGTGTGTTTATTCCATCTTACCTGTGGCAGTCTACCTTAACTGTCTTACAGTTACAATAAATTACAACTTTGGATAGACTTTCTACAGGAGTCATTGAGCGTATAAACCCCTCCCACTGGAGGGTCCCAGGGAGGAAAACGTGGCTGCAGAAATTAAAAGGATGGGGTGAGGGGACATGTGGGGGCAGAACATACAGGCTCTTGCAGATCTCTGAGCGGCCCTGCTTCCACCCTGTTCACTTCTCTGCAAAAGTATGAATGGAATGGCTTTTCTAGAAAGGGCTTCCGTGAACATAAAGGAATTCTTTTCCCTGGGAGGCCCTGTGGAGGCCCGTCAGTCCTGAGCCGGGCTTCTCCTCAAATCCATTCGGTCTGGCATTTCTACTAATGTGTTAGGACCCACAACGATGTGTGTGTGTGTGGGGGGGGGGTTATTTGTTAAAATGCTTCCTCTTCCTCTGTCAGGCCTCACAGAAATCAAGAAGTGAGATCCCCAGCTTAAACTTGCAGCTTCTTAGAGATGGAGGTAACACTGTTAGGTTGCCATAGTAACTGCCCCTGTTAGGATTGCACTGAGCTGCTGGCTGCCTCTTGCCAACTTGTCCAGGAATCTTACTTCAAGATGTCCAGACAAGGAAGTCTTCTCAAGGACATGCACACTCTTTGGTAAGCCCGTTTGTGTTGCCATTTGTAAATCTTAAACAGTCTTCTTTCTTCACAGTAACCTTTGATCTTGAAGTGCCCCAAAGCCTTTGTGGTTGGTTTATTAAGTATGGCCCCAGTGGCTAATAACAAAGTAGATGGGAAAGCATTTTGCTGTGCTTTATTGAAAAATGTCCGGTGATACACCTGCTCATCACACACCTTCCGGGAAGCATGTTTCATTGTGAGTCTTCTGAGCAGAACTGGAGTCCCTGTATCTTAGTGCAGCTCTCACGAGGGCTGCTTGCTCACCAGGCACAGCTGAGTGCAGGCAGGGTGCACGGTCCCGCCTGGGGCTGACCAGCGGGTGCTCCTCAGCTTGCCAGTTTCATCTCGGACCACACGCTGCCCGGGCAGGAGGCAGGTCCGCAGTGACACCTGGTTGGCAACAGGCTTCGCATTTTCTCAAACGGGAAGGCGCACTTTGGTGCTAGAAGGATGAGTTCAAGACATCTGCGGAAAGCCCTTTCTGTCCCTCAGGTGGGTTTTCCCGAAAGTAAACCGTTTTTGGAAAATCAACACGGGTGTTCATGGCGTGGAGCAAACTGACAGGTGGTGGGTCAAGGCATTGAGCTATGACACAGCTTTTAAATGGTGAGACCTTGAACCTATGAAAATGAAAGTATAAAACACTGCTGGTGCTTTATGGAAGATTGCTGGTTGCCTGTGGCAGACAGGACATGTTCCCATGGAGTTCTGCTGCACAGACAATGCTGCGGACAACGCCCCATCCCTGGAGCGCGTCTTCTCCGCGAGGTGCAGTCCACGGACCACGTCCCCTGTTGCACATGCAGTTCAGCTCACTGGCCCGGCAGCAAGCACCAGTCTCGGGGTGCAGGGCCAGAGGGAGTCTGCCTTGTAATCAGACCTGGCAGGGGCAGTCAACCGCATGGGGCGCCTAAGTCACCCACATGCCCATCTCCTGAACTCTGTGTGTCCTTTCTGCATCCCAGGCCTAACATCTGGAAGGTGTCCCCCAGCACTCAGGAAGAGCTGTGGATGTACTTGAGAAGCAGGCTCGCCGCCCTGGGCTCAGCGTGTAGGTTTTTTGCATTACAGAGTTAACTTTTCATGAGACTCATGCATGACTCAACGAGCAGAACTGTCAAATCACGGGGCTTGGAATCATCACCTCCTGCCTGGACTTAGAATCTGAGAGGGCTCGGACTGCAGGAAGTCTGCCCCAGCCACTGCCCTGGTGCGCTCCTCCCTAAGGTGGAGGGCCCTGGCGGAGCCAGAACTCCATCCCCGGTGGGACTGAGCATCAGGGGCAGGCAGGGCAGTGAGACTGAGCATCCGGGGCAGACAGGGCGGTGGGACTGAGCATCTGGGGCAGACAGGGCGGTGGGACTGAGCATCCGGGGCAGGCAGGGCGGTGGGGCTGAGCATCGGGGGCAGGTAGGGCGGTGGGACTGAGCATCCGGGCAGGCAGAGCGGTGGGGCTGAGCATCCGGGCAGACAGGGCGGTGGGGCTGAGCATCGGGGGCAGACAGGGCGGTGGGGCTGAGCATCCCGGGCAGACAGGGCGGTGGGACTGAGCATCCGGGCAGACAGGGCGGTGGGGCTGAGCATCCGGGCAGGCAGGGCGGTGGGGCTGAGCATCCGGGCAGACAGGGCGGTGGGACTGAGCATTGGGGGCAGGCAGGGCGGTGGGGCTGAGCATCTGGGGCAGACAGGGCGGTGGGACTGAGCATCTGGGGCAGACAGGGCGGTGGGACTGAGCATCCCGGGCAGACAGGGCGGTGGGACTGAGCATCCGGGCAGACAGGGCGGTGGGGCTGAGCATCGGGGGCAGACAGGGCGGTGGGACTGAGCATCCGGGCAGACAGGGCGGTGGGGCTGAGCATCCGGGCAGGCAGGGCGCAGAGCCTGATTCCAAACTAAGGGCACGGAGAGCCCCCAGCGCGGGGCAGTCTGAGGTCACTGGTAGGGAAACCCGGCTCCTGGAGAGCCGAGGTGGGGCCGTCGCCTCACGGGCGGTGTCAGTCCCCCGGCCTCCATGGATGGCATCTGCGGTAAAAATCTAAACGTGGGCCGCGGGCGCTATTAAAATAGTCGTCTCTGTATAAATTAATTTAAATCGTGCATACGCAGCTCGGCCCCGGAGCTCGGCCGGGCGCTGGGCAGCCGGAGCCCCCGAGGCCAGACTATGGCTTCTGGCCGCGGGGCCCAGGCGCCCCCGGTCCCCCTGCGGGTCCCCCGCCGGGCCTTGTCCGGTCCCGGGCCGTGCGGTCCTGGTCCCCGGCCGTGCGTGATGGCCGGTCACCTGCCGTCCGGTCCGGTCCCGGTCACCTGCCGTCCGGTCCGGTCCGGTCCCGGTCACCTGCCGTCCGGTCCGGTCCCGGTCACCTGCCATCCGGTCCGGTCCCGGTCACCTGCCGTCCGGTCCGGTCCCGGTCACCTGCCGTGCGTGATGATGACGGAGGCGCCCAGGTAGTGCGGCAGCGGCGCGGCGGGCGCGTTGGCGGCGGGGCCGGGCGGCCGTGGCCGGAGCGCGGCGGCGGCAGCGGCGGCGGCCTCGGGGGCGTGCGGGCCGCGGGCCGGGGCGGGCGGGGCGGGCGCAGCGCCCCCCAGCGGCCCGCGGCGCAGCACGCGGTGGTAGTTGAGCAGCACGAAGGGCAGCTGCGCGGGGGCCGGGGCGGGGGCCGGGGCCGGGGCCGGGGCGGGGCGGGCGGCCTTGGCGGCGGCGGGCGCGGGCCCCTCGCGGAAGCGGCCGCAGCTCGGGAAGCTCGGCGGCGGCGGCGGCGGCGGCGCGGGGGCCTCGGCGAACCTGCGGGGCGCGGGCGCTGCGGGGACAGCGGCGGGTCAGTCCGAGGGGCCGAGCCGGTGCCCGGTGCTCAGGGGCCCCGGGCACCGCCACCCTCTCCGCCCGCATCCCCGGCCCCTCCCGCCCCCGCACTCAGCCCCGGGCCGCGCCCGCCCCTCTGAGATGCGGTCTGAGATGCTCCGGTGGCCGCCTTGGGGCGGGAGCAGCAGGTGGAATCACCGAAACTTAATTCAGTACCAGCCGCCATCGACCTTTAAAAGTATCCCTGTGCCTGGCCGGTGTGGCTCAGTGGATGGAGGGTCCTGGGCTCCATTCCGGTCCAGGGCAGTCCCTGGGTTACCGCCGGCCCTGCTCAGGGCACGTGCAGGAGGGCAGTGAATTCTTGTGACCATGTTTCTCTCTGTATCCCCTCTCTCTTCCACTCTCTCTGAGAATCCATGGGAAAAGTATCCCTGGGGGAGGATTAAAAACATAAAACTATTTTTGTTCCCGGGTTTGAGCGTGGCCAGACAGCCCCCCTCGCTGCGGCCGGAGGTCGGCCCTGGGGAACGGGCACAGTCACCCATCTTTCTGGCTGACCCCTCCGTGGGCACAATGATTAAGATAAGAACCGAGCTGAAACCGGTGTGGCTCAGTGGATGGAGCGTCAGCCTGCGGACTGAAAGGTCCCAGGTTCGGTTCCGGTCAAGGGCATGTACCTTGGTTGCGGGCACATCCCCAGTAGGAGGTGTGCAGGAGGCGGCTGATGGATGATTCTCTCTCTTTGACGTTTCTAACTCTCTGTCTCTCTCCCTTCCTCTCTGTGAAAAATCAATAAAATACATTTTTTTAAATAAAATAATCACCGCTTCCCTAAGCAGACGCTGGCCACCAATGGGCTCCTCCTGCCTTTCCTCAAGGCCACCTTTGTCTCTGATGTGAAAACACCAGGAAGCTGATCACAAATTGCCCCAAATTAGCACCTGGAGGCCCTGTGCTCACGGAGTGTGTGATAAAT